CACCTGGACACCCCCCCCCGGCCCAAGGAGGGCAGGGCTCAGCCCCATGGCCACGCTCCTCCTGAGCACAGGCCTGAGTCTGCAGAGCTCCAGTTCTGCAGACACTTGAGAGCTGAACAGGGAGGCCTCTGGGCACATATCAGCACTCTTGCTGTGGCCCTCCTCTAGTTTACTGTCTCACCGCAAAGAAAAAGCCCACATGCATCTTAACGTTTAAGCTGATGAACAGTTTACAGCATCGTGTGACCACCTACTGGTCATACTACTTCACCTGTCAGTTTCAATAATTTAGAGAGACAGGATCTTAATATTATTAGAATATATGGATATACCAAGGAGAAAAACACAATTTCTAACTTGGGGGGGATGGTTGGTTTAAATGTCTTTGTTTGGTTCCTGTGTATCTCCTATAGCTGTGAAGAGACTAGCTGGGTCTCTCCTGCTGGCCAAGATGAGACGAGCACTGCAGCCAATCCAAACATATGATGCTCATTTCTGAGGCCAGTGCTGTGCACAGAGAATACATACTCAATAAATACTTCACTAAGTTAGCAAATATTTATTGAGCATCTACTATGTTGCAGACAGTGTGACCCAGAAGGACACAATTCCCACCCTCCTGGAGCAAATTTAATTGCAACTGAGAGGAGTTCTGCAAAGTAAACTCTTAGTAATGCAGAAGGATGGGTGGATTAGATACTGTGGAGTCAGCACAGAAACAGAGACAGCATAGAACAGAGGGCCCAGAAGAAGATCCACGCACATGTGGGAGCTCTGTAAGTGACAAAGGTAGCACTACAAACCTGTGGGAAATAAACTAATTATTAATAAGTGACACTGGACAAAGCTTTCCATATGGCAAAAAATAAAACTTGGGCTCCTACCTCAGTCTATACACACCCCACACATGCAAAATAAATTCCAGCTGGATTAGAGATATACATAGAGAGATAAATGTTACCTTTATGATTCTGGAGTAGGAAAAGACTTCTTGAACAAGACCAAAACACTCCAATCATAAAGGAGAAGGTAAGTTTTACTATATAATTAAAAACTATAAGAGATACTACTCCAAATAAAGTTAAGACAAGTGGAAGATAGAAAATATTTGTAATGGGCTGGCCCGGTGGCGCACTGCTACAGTGCGCTGCTTGGGAGTGCGGTGGCGCTCCCGCCGAGGGTTCAGATCCCACATACAGACTGGCCGC